CTACATGCGGCCAGGTGGGCGAGGCCCCCCCAAATTTTCCATATTCTACAGTTGGGAGAGCCCCATTGGGCCCTCCCGCAGCCAAACAGTAGAGAAAGGCCAGACTAAATGGACGCTTTTTGGGATCTGACATCCTTCTTACATTCAGGTCCTCAAGCAAGTTTACATACATGCGCAGCAGATGCGCATTAAATGTGCAAGTGGGTGGCGCTGTGAGTTAAACCACAGAGCCTAGGACTTGCCGATCAGAAGGTTGACGGTTCGAATCCCTGCGACGGAGTGAGCTCCTGTTGCTCAGTCCCTGCTCCTGCCAACTTAGCAGTTCGAAAGCACGTCAAAGTGCAAGTAGATAAATAGGTACTGCTCTGACGGGAAGGTAAACGGCGTTTCTGTGCGCTGCTCTGGTTCGCCAGAAGCGGCTTCATCATGCTGGCCACATGACCCGGAAGCTGTACGCCGGCTCCCTCTGCCAATAAAGCGAGATGAGTGCCACAACCCCAGAGTCGGCCACGACTGGACCTAATGGTCAGGGGTCCCTTTACCTTTAGATCTGCACTGCAAGGTAATGCCCTAAATTGCTTCAGGAAGAACTTTCTGAAGGCAAGAGCCTATTGACAGTGGAACAGGCTCCTTTGGAAGGTAGTGGACTCTTCTTCATGGAAGGTTTTTAAGCAGAGGTTAGGTGGCCACCTGCCATGGATGACCTGGTTGAGATTCCTGCATTGGAGTTGGGCTGGATGACGCTTCCAGCTCTACAATTCTATGATTTATAGGTGCTCAGCAAAGTCAGGACCAACTTGCTGCTGCTTTGCATGTTGCTGATTTACAGTGATGAGCCACGGACGCCTTGGGCTGGATCGGGCCCTTAGTGAGTCAGAACTGGAGGCACGCAAGCACTGGATGCGTAACGGACAGCCGCCAAACTCCTCGAATGCTTGTTCGTATTTTCGTGGCTCAGTGCCACCTGTGGGTCAACAGCCAAAACGGAAAAGCACACCTCTGTTGGGTAACAAAACAGTCCTTCTTCTCCTGCCTTTTGCTCATCTCAACAAATCGTTTGAGACTCTCGGCAGCTCTGAGAAATTCCAGCCTCAAAGAGAGAAAAGGCACCACAATCCCAAACCTGAAACTGGAAGGAGACAATCTGGAAAGGGCACACAGAGCTCTAAGACCCATGGCAAAAGCCAACACCCCTCCACAAGACATCACCATGTGCTTTGCCTGATACAAAAAGAAAGTTGAAATATGGAATAACCTCAGAAACTCAACCAACCTCCAATAGGGAGAAAACTCCATCCAGGCCTTTCAGGATTTATTGCAAGAGACCCTAAACCGATAGAGGAAACCTACGCCCATGTATCCAATGCATAGCTGTCAACGTTTCCCGTTGTTTTTTTTAAAAAAGATTTTTATTAAAGTTTTCAAAAAATTACAAAAAGAAAAAAGAAAAAGAAAAAATACAAAGTAAAAACAGTTAAAAACAATTCAATCTTTCCGTATCTTATCTTTCATTTGCTTGTTCCCCAGACCTCCTCACACCTCCCTTTTTTGTATCCAGTTCAATTAGTTGGTTCAGCAAATCCTTTCCCTCTTTGTTTTTATCCTAATCTTTAATCTTAATATATTATAACTTTATAACCTGTTAACAATCCATTTTTGCACATCTTTATAACATTACTGCTGAAAACCACTTAACTTCAATCCAACATCATTCTAACATTCATTAATTTTGCAGTATTTCTGTAAATAGTCTTTAAATTTCTTCCAATCTTCTTCCACCGACTCTTCTCCCTGGGTCCTGTTTTTTAAGGGAAATTCCCTTATTCCGAATAGGATTCCTTGCAAGAAAAGGGAAAGGCTGACAGCTATGATCCAATGTCTTCAACAAGCAGGAATCAAGTAGCGATGGGGCTTCCCCTTTCACCTCGTTGTAACAACTGACACAACACAGCACACGGCCACCGACGTACCTGAAGCCCTTCAACTACTGGAGAACCTTAACCCTCCACCAGAATGGCAACCATCAGACCCACCAAGCGACAACCAATATGAAAATACAGTGAACAACAGGAGAAAGAAGAAACAACAGAAATGACATGACAATGCAAACCAAGACAGTCAAGTACCACTCACAGAACAGCCCCGCACAAACACACAAGACCATGAACCAACCTCAGCTAAACCCACATACCACAGATTGATAACCCTGCAACATCAACTACTGCAGGTTCAGTCAACTGTGATGAAACAGCTGCCCAGTTTAGATCATCTGGTGCCAAAGTTTGAACTTCTAGCCGGAGACCATCAGAAGTCCTGCATGGGTCTTGAACCTGGAATTCTGGAAGCAGAGCCCATGTCACTAGCTCCTTGCAGCGACATGGCAGTTCCGTGGTAGATCACCTGCTTTGCTTGCCAAATGCCTCAGGTTCATTTTCCCAGCCTCTCCAAGCAGGGATGGGAATGTCCCTTGTCTAAAACCCAGCCCTGCTGACTTGTCAGACTTGGCAGTTCCCTATGGTGAGAACATAACTATGAGTCTGCTGCAGAGGGCCAGAAATTGCAGCTGAGGCTCTCTGTCCTCTTATCCCAGACATATGGAAACCTGCTCCCAGCTCCGTACATGCACAGAGAAGTTCTTAATAATTAACCATTATGTTCTGGTACAGTCAAACCTCGGTTGTCGAACGTAATCCGTTCCAGAAGCCCGTTTGGCTTCTTAAATGTTCGACAACCAAATTGCGGCTTCCGATTGGTTGAAAAAGCTTTCTCTATTCAGCAGAAGCTGTGTCGGATGTTCAGCTTCCAAAAAACATTTGAAAACCGGAGCATTTACTTCTGGGTTTTTGGCAATCGGGATCTGAAGGTGTTTGGGAATTGAGGTTTGACTGTATTCAGAAGAGGCTCTGGGTCATAATCTCGGCTTAAATGACACAGAAAATAGCCAGGGGTTTAAGTTTCTGTTTCCTTCCTCTCTTTTTACATTGCTGTGCAACATCTTTAGAAATGACCTGGATGAAGGAATTGAGGGGGACGCTCATCAAATTTGCAGATGACACCAAACTGGGAGGGGTAGCTAATGCCGCAGAATACAGGTTCAGGGTTCAAAATGACCTTAATGGATTGGTGAACTGGGCCCAAACTAACAAAATGAATTTCAACAGGGACAAATGTGAGGTTCTACACTTAGAACCAGCTGTGCAAATATAAGATGAGAGGCATCTGCTTGCCAATAGTACACGTGGAAAGAATCTAGGGGTCTTGGTGGACCACAAGCTAAACATGAGCCAACAGTGTGATGCAGCAGCAAAAAAGCTAATGCTATTCTAGGCTGCATCAACAGAAGTATAGTGTCCAGATCAAGGGAAGTAATAGTACCTTGGTCAGACCTCACCTGTAGTACTGTGTCCAATTCTGGGCACCACAATTGAAGAAGGATGTTGACAAGCTGGGATGTGTCTACAATTCTATGACTCTATGATTCTTTGATTAATTTGCACCCTCGTGAATCTGGTTTGTGGTCCTGAACACTAAGGAAGATGATGCAGTCCTTTGAAAATGTGTCAGGCAGAAGGAGATATCTACCTGGAGCTACTGAGCATTTGAGCAGAACTACCTGGAGCAACTGAGCAGAACTTTTCCAAAGAACAGAGCAAAAATTATTTATCTTGCCGTGGAACAGGTAATAGAATTGTTTTATTGAAGACTTGGAAGGGACACAAAGGTAAGGTTACCAGATGTCCCCGTTTCCCAGGGACAGTCCCCGGATTCACAAATCAGTCCCCATCAGTTGAAAAGTGTCCCCGGATTCATTGAAAAAAATCTGGTAACCTTACACAAAGGGCCATCTAGTTCAACTCCCTGCGAGGCAGAAATCACAGCTAAGGAACCCCCAACAGCATTCTGCTGCCAAACAGCTCTGACAATCCATTTAGTCAGAATCTCCTTTCTTGCCTTTAATCCATTGGTTTGGGTCCAACCCTCGGGAGCAACAGAAAACAGGTTTGCTCCATCTTCCATATGACAGCCCTTTAGATATTCGAAGATGGCTGTCATGTCAACTATCAGTCTCCTCTTTTCCAGGCTAAACAGACCCAGCTCTTTTAACCATTCCTCGTAAGGCTTGGTTTCCAGACCCTTCATCACATTGATCTCCCTCCTCTGCACACCTTCCAGCTTGTCAATAACCTTCTTAAATTGTGGTGCCCGGAACTGGACACAGGACTCCAGGTGGGGTCTGAACAAGACAGAATAGAGCAGACACCGAGACCATATAACACCGGTCCTGAAAGACCTACATTGGCTCCCTGTACGTTTCTGACAACAATTCAAAGTGTTGGTGCTGACCTTGAAAGCCCTAAACGGCATCAGCCCAGTATACCTGAAAGAGCGTCTCCACCCCCATCGTTCTGCCCGGACACTGAGGTCCAGCGCCGAGGGTCTTCTGGCGGTTCCCTCACTGCGAGAAGCAAAGCTACAGGGAACCAGGCAGAGGGCCTTCTCGGTGGTGGCACCCGCCCTGTGGAACACCTTCCCATCAGATGTCAAGGAAATAAACAACTACCTGACATTTAGAAGACATCTGAAGGCAGCCCTGTTTAGGGAGGTTTTTCATGTGTGACATTTTAATGTATTTTTAATCTTTGTTGGAAGCCGCCCAGAGTGGCTGGGGAAGCCCAGCCAGATGGGAGGGTACAAATAAATTATTATTATTATTATTATTATTATTATTATTATTATTATTTCCCTTGATCTGGAGGGCGCCAGGTTGGCAAACGCAGTGCCACTGGTGGAATGAGTTGAATCAGTTGGGTTGTGGTTTTAACTGCACATGAGTAATACTACTGGAGGGGGTGGAGCAGAAGAGCTAGCAAAACCGCCCACTCAGCCTTACGCTGTCAAGAAAAAAAGGAAGAAGGAGTGGGAGAAATTGCAGTTGAAGATAAGTTGGTGAGGGCGGAGTTTTTCAGGGGAGGTGTGTCCAGGATTCCTCTCCCTTTCTGCACGTTTATAAGGCGAGGCAGGTCTGCTCAAGAGCTACAGAGAGCCAAGCTTGGAGAGCTGAGAGGGACTCTTGCTCAACTTGACACAGAAAGCGGAGAAGAGACAAGGCAGAGATCATGGGACGGCAGAAGGACCTTCTCTCAGCCATCGGCTTGAGGCTGCGGATCAGGAATAGACTTATCCGTCAGGCCCTGGCTGAGTGTCTGGGAACCTTAATCCTGGTGGTAAGTAGATTTTGGGGGAGCAATGGGCTTGGGAGACAGGAGAAGTTTTGGATTTATTGTATTGCACAGACGTAAGAGTCCAGATTCATCTTCTCATAAAAGTTGTGGGATAGTTTGTTGAGTGGTGATCCTCAGAGGTTAAAAGGGGTTTGGCACAACTCTTGCCTCTGCACAACTGCTTTTAATGGGATGTTTAGTAACAGAAATTCCCCTTTCCTTGTGTCCTGGTGGAGGGGATTGTTTTCAGAAGCTAGGGAGGAATTGGAAATAAAACACTTTCAAAGGTCAAAATGTCTTGGAACAGGAAAGATTTTGAGTTACACAGAACGGCAGCAAACAGTCTTGAAGCGTTCTGTGTAACCTGAAAGCCTGCATGTTCACACAGCCAGCCAAATTGACTCTCCAAAAAGATAGAACTGCAGGCAAGTTTGCATTTTTTTTCAATGTACCCTGTAATCTCTCCCCCCAGCGCATGAATTCACAAGCAGAATTCTACAGTTAATATTCTTAGGAGCAATGTCTCGTTTTCACAATAGCCTTGTAAGGTATGCCCTCCTCATAAAATCCCGTTTCACAGATTGAGAACCGAGTCTAAGTGACTTTGCCAACCTGGTGCCCTCCAGGGGTTTTGGACTACAACTGTAAGCAGCACAGAGTTTGAAACAACTGGAGGCCACGAGGTTGGTAGAGGCAGTTTTAGGTGTGCACTTAAACTGTGAAAGTGGCCCCCACTTTTTGAGGGTGCCAACACCAGCAGTTGAGCAAGCCTTCAGTGGCAAAATTATGCTTTGCTCTGCATCGTAAGTGAAAGAACCCCAAGTGCTTGCCCAGTTCGAAAGCACATCAAAGTGCAAGTAGATAAATAGGTACCACTCTGGCGGAAAGGTAAACGGCGTTTCCGTGCGCTGCTCTGGTTCGCCAGAAGCGGCTTAGTCATGCTGGCCACATGACCCGGAAGCTGTACGCCGGCTCCCTCGGCCAATAAAGCGAGATGAGCGCCGCAACCCCAGAGTCGGCCACGACTGGACTTAATGGCCAGGGTTCCCTTTACCTTTACCTATGTAAATCTCACCTGTAGCTTGCAATAGCCCAGCTTGGCTCCTTTCTCTTCCAAAATGCACGAGGCAGCTATACTGTCAGAACCTGCACCCCCCCAAAACAAAACACCCCCCCCCCAAGAATCCTAGGAAGTGTAGTTTGTTAAGGGTGCTGAGAAATGTAGCCCTGTGAAGAAATAAACTACAGTTCTTCGCATTCTTGGGAGGGGGAAAGTGTGGTTTACATGTGCTTTAAATGTACAGTGTGTACATAGCCTGAAACACAGAATATATATGGGTTTGTTTTGTTGTTTTTTAAAAATAACTTCTTCTTTTAAGTTTGCCGCTGTGAAAGAGGGAAATACCATTGCAGAAACCGCTCAGCAGTTTTTCAATGCGAAGGCTCCCCAAGACTCTGAGCATCTGCATCTGGGAGCTGTTGCTTAGCTGCATCCCTGTTTTAAAATTATAAAAAAAATCAGAGAAGTGGCTTCCAGATGACCTGCTCCTTGAGCATTCCTCCCGATTTGCTTGCCCAAACCTGCTGGGTGGAGAGGTGATACGGCATCAGCCATTGAGGGAGCATTTGTTCTGAAATGTTTGCAGGGAGGTTAGACATTGTTGCATTAAGTGAGCGTCATCCTTTGCCTTCCAGCGCATTTCCCTCCCTTCCCTTCCCTCGCCTCCAAAAAACCTTACCTTTTTTGCGGGAATTGGACTTATATTGCTCAAATGGCACGACGTTAATTTGCTGGCAGGTGACTGAAAACCCAGCTGAAAAGAGCGGCAGCCTGGAATTGTCTAGAGATGGGGATTCTGTGGAAATAGGTTGTCCGAAGGACCCCGATGTGTGTGGGTTGTGTGGTCAGTGCTGTTGGCTTTCACTGTCGGGTGTGGTGGGTGTTTTCAGCTGTGTGTGTGTGTGTGTGTGTGTGTGTGTGACTTGCCATTGTCGACACGAATGTTCACAATTATCATAGCCCCAGTTGACTGCTTTGCCTCTCTGCTGGGAATGTGAGATTGGTCTGAATGGGTTTTATTTTGGAAGAAGGGATAGTTGGCCTTACTTGCTGCTGGTACCTCGGCACTTAACTGTTCAATTTACAGAAGGTCCAACATCGAGGAAGCTCCCCAATCGAACTCCTGGGGTCTCTAGGGAGGGCTAGAAGAGATCTCAAATACTGGAGAGCTGCTGCCCATTTCAGCTTCAAATTCCTCCTTTCAGCTCCCTCTGTCCTCACCCTCCAATGTGCTGGAGGGTTGTCGCGCTCACCAAACTGTGATGCATAACTCATTCCAAAAGCTGGAGAGAGATTCCCAGCTATCAGGACCCTGCCATTCGCCCCCATTGGCCAGCTCCCACCAGCCACCGGGTATTATTCGGTAACAAGCCATCCTGCATAGGAATGTCTGGCCAGAAGCGCTAAGAATAAAATTATCTTCTATCTACCCCTGGGCTGAATTCCTGAAGGCCAGAGGTCTCAGGCTGTTGTAGCACAACTCGGTGGCAGAACCCCTGTCGTTTCACTGCGACCTGACTATACCTTTTCCATCTTCTAGCTTCTTATTTTTCAACCCATTGACAGCTCCCTCATACCCCTCTCATTTTAGCCATCTGTTACTGGCTGCAATCGATTTTCATCAGGCACCAGCTCTCACCACTGTACTGCACTGTCTTGTTGGAAACCCAGCCAGATGGGCGGGGCAGAAATAATAAATTTATTATTATTATTATTATTATTATTATTATTATTATTATTATTACACCCATGCAAATCTGCCATCTTGTACATGGCAATTGACTGGATAACTTTTTTAAAAAACAAAACTAAACCCAAGCAGACAGGCCCCTGCCCCGCAAAGGTTACAATTTAAAGTTTCACAGTAATGTGAGATCAGACATGGGGAACGGAGGGACGAGAAGGATGGAAAAGGCAAGGGGTAAGGAATGATTTTGTGAGAAGCCTTTAAAATGGCATTAAAGAGGGAAGTCGCTGTGTATAATTTCTCTATATGTATGCCCAGACTTCACAGGGAATGGGAGGAGCTGTGTGTTAAGAGATCCTTCAGAGGGCTGAGAACGAGGAAGCGTTTTCAAAGTGTCCTGAAAGGCATCTGATCTGTTCCCAAGTTCAGCTTTCGTGGCAGAACGCCAGAGAAGCCCTTATAGGATTTAACTGAGCGAAAACCAGAGCTGTAAATTTAATTGATTAGAGCGCAATCCAAACCATGTCTCCTTAGAAGTAAATCCCTTTGAATTCAACAGTGGGGCTTGCTTCCAAGTAAATGGGGTTAGGATCACAGCCTTTGTTGGTTACATTAATCAGTTAGGAAGACCTCTCCAGGGACTGAAAAGACACCTGGTTGAATTAGCCAAAAGATTCCCCTTCATAATGTATTGTTTTAAATGTAAATATTTATTTTAAAAATTGCATTATTTTAAATGCTAGTGTTTATTAGGATGCATGAAAATGTGTGCAACTTTAATTATTGGACAGTCCAACCATAGCTGTCAACTTTCCCCTTTTTTAAAGGGAAATTCCCTTATTCCGAATAGGATTCCTCGCAAGAAAAGGGAAAAGTTGACAGCTATGAGTCCAACCCGAGGCAGTTTACTCTGAAGTAAGCCACACTCTGTTCAGTGGGGCTTCCTCCCAGGGAAGCATGCATAGGATTGCAATCTTAGACTGAAATCATAAGAGGAGGTAGCACAACCAATGCACAGATCCAATACAGATTTAAAAGCTGCCTTTCCTCCACCCCCCAGTGCCCCCTCTATTTTCCTGGCTCATTCACTTCACACCCACTTTGCTCCAGGCAGTGGTGATGATCTGCACTATGATGGCTGGTTGTGGGCTGGGACTGGGAGCTTCTCTCGGCTGCTGGAGTAAACCTTCTGGGCTGAGCCAGGAGCTCCTTTCAGGCTGACCATTAGGTCCAGTCGTGGCCGGCTCTGGGGTTGCGGCGCTCATCTCGCTTTATTGGCCGAGGGAGCCGGCGTACAGCTTCCGGGTCATGTGGCCAGCATGACTAAGCCGCTTCTGGCAAACCAGAGCAGCGCACGGAAACGCCATTTACCTTTCCGCCAGAGTGGTACCTATTTATCTACTTGCACTTTGGTGCTTTCGAATTGCTAGGTTGGCAGGAGCTGGGGCTGAGCAACGGGAGCTCATCCCATCGCGGGGATTCGAACCGCCGACCTTCTGATCAGCAAGCCCTAGGCTCTGTGGTTTAACCCACAGTGCCACCCGCACCCGGAGCCTTTTATACCTTGGGCCAAAGTTCCTCCTCCTCCTCTAGGGGCCCAGCTAGGTGGGGCTGAGGAGCAGGAGGGGGAAGAGGCTGGCCGTGGGGTGTGGCGCCCTGGGCCAAGCAGTAGGCCCCCATAGCTGCTTGTTTCGAGGAGCCATCAGGCCCCAGCTGCTCTCTTTATCAGCTCCTCGCAGGCAGCAGGACCAGGCGCTGAGCACACAGTCCGGGAGACGCCCTGGAAGCTCACAGCCCGAGAGCCATTTTGCAGGGGCAAAACACAGCCCACAGACCCATTTAGACCCATTGCACAGATGAGGGCGCAATGGGAGCAGTAAGGGGAATGTCCTGGGTGACGCAAACCCAGAGCTCCTCTCAACGAGCCCCAAAAAGGGGTGTGTGTCTAGGATTGGCAGGACTCTGGGGGAAGAGGGGCTGGAGCCTGGCTTGAAAGAGGGGGGCAGTGGTTTGTGGGGAACTGGGCCAGCCAGGAGGCAAGAGTCGGAGGCAGGGGGAGCTTCAGAGCTGGAGGAAGAGGAGGAAGAAGAGGCAAGGCAAGGGCCAGGGGTATCCTCACCTCCTTCTGCATCTCAACTCTCTCAGAACCAGGAGAGGACTGAACAGGATTATTGGGGGTAAATTATCCTTGCAATTTCCACCCAGAGACAGGAGGCAAAGGGCAGTTCGTCTCAATACAAAAATCTCTAAATGGAT